GGGGTGAAGGGAGGGCAGGGACAAGGGGGAAAAATGAGAACCAAGACTTGTCATGTAGAGGTACAAGATCCCAACAATGAATGTAACTGTACTGTATCCCTAAAATGTACCAATAAACTCAATTAAAGCTAAAAAAACATTGCGTCCTGTTTTTCTTTACATTAAGGTCAAAGGAGGCCCAATTTGTGTACTGTGAACCAGTGTCAAATAAAACTCTGTTCCCACAAGCCTTGCTCAGGTAAGAGCCTTGGTGATGTGCCTCTCTGGGGCCTATCTTTTTCTCCCAACCTTTGACAATGAGCCGCATCCCCAGCTTTTTTTTCTTAAACGTGGCCCACTACACTGCTAAACTGCCCAGACTGGGCTCAAATTTTGATCCTCTGCCTCAGCCTCCCGGCTCTGAGATCAGTCTTTACAAATGAAACCCTCACTAAATTCTTGACCAAATTAATGGAGGCCTCCTTTGTGCTGGAGTTGGACCTGTATGTCACATAACAGCAATAATGCTGCTTCATGAAATAACTGGAACCTTTAAAATCTTAAAGCTGAGAGCTATGGATGTAGCTCAGTGGTTCTGCCGCCTTTTCCCAAGCACAAGGTCCCAAGTTCAATCCCTGGTACCCAAAAAAAAACCCCAAACAAACAAAAAACCTTAAAGCTGAGTGCTGTAACTGCAGGACCCTGAGTTCCTCTATTTGACATCACGGCCCTCTGGAGCTTTTCACAGCTGCACTCCAAGTGACAAACGTGCTCCCTAACTTTATGTTGACTCCATCTGCATCATGAAGGACAAGCCCTGCAGTCCACGGCCGTCCTTCCACCCTCAGCTCCCTGTCACAGGGACTCAGTGACAGGCAAGGGCCAGCGCAGCTCGGTGGCTTGGCGCTTACCTGGCACACACGAGGCCTTGATTCAAGCTCCAGCAGCACAACCAGAAACAAAGCGTCGGACGGTGCCGGCCCCCCTCGCAGTGCCGAGCGTACGCCCCGAAGGCCATACCTGCACGGTGGGGCTGAGCACGATGGAGATGTTCTGAATGTTCATCTTGGTCTCCAGCTCCTTGGCGATGACGTGGTCCATGTGCACGACCAGCCAGGAGATGAGGAGGCAATTGCACTCAGGCAGCTCCCGGAGCAGGCGCTGGAACTCCTGCACCTTCTCGCTCTCCATGGCCCTCCCGCACGCCTCCTCGAAGCGCGGCAGGAGCTCTTTGGTAAGCAAGTTCTCCGGGAGGTCGCGCAGGTACTGCTTCAGCAGGCTGGCCACGGTGTTTGGCTCATAGTCTTCCAGGTTGGGAGACTCCTCTCGGTCGTAGGCCGCCTTCAGCTCGTCCACCTTGGATTTAATTCCTTGAGGCATTTCAAGTGCAGAAAAGAAGAGAATGAGCGGGCAGGAAATGAACACAGGGTTTCTTCACCGTAAGTGACCCCGCCGTCCTGAGAGAGGGTAAAGGCCGCCTGCCAGCAGAGAACTCTCCCTCTGCGCCGCCACCACCTCAGAACATGGCAGTTCAGGGTGAGCTGCTTCCAGAGAGTGACAAGCAGGGCCGGGGATGTAGCTCAGTGATGCCGCTGCCTCTCTCGCAAGCATAAGGACCTGAGTTCGATCCCGGGTACCAAAAAATAAAATAAAATATAATAAAGAATAATTAAAAAAAAGTGTAGCATGCACTATGGAGCACAACCTGGATGTACTAATGCCAACTAATTCAGGGAGAACAGAATGTTTAAAGTTTAAAGGTAGCTGTATAGGAATTTAGGGAAAAATTAAACTACAATCCAAATGTCAGCCAACCACATTTTTCTAACTTGTCACAAGGCTGATGACATGATGTGTAACCTGGCTCACACTGAGTATATTACCAAAAGTTGTAGGTGAATCCATGTTTATAAGTAAAGTTTATAAGTACAGAAGGTGAGTCACCTATCAAATGAATTCTTTGAAAATTATTTTCCCTTAAATAGTTCCCATTTAATTTCAATTTGAATTTTTAAAGTGTTTTCTAAATCCAAACAAAGCTGGAACAAAAAAGTCCAAGTCTGAGTTTCTAAAATCAAATTGTTTGGGTTTCCCTACTGTACAGAAAGTGACTCCAACACACAGAGTGTTTTTTCAAGCACTGCACCAGGTATTCTGTCTTTACTCCAACCTGCACAAAGCGATGCAGCTCAGGGATGGTGACTGCCTATTACAGCACAAAGCAGCCCTGAGCCTAAATGTTGGGCCGATATCTGAAGCGGGCACAAACGAAGGCTGATGCTTTCAGCAGCACTGGCCTCTGACCAGACTATCATGCATTCCTGTCTTCCTTGAAAACCTTTCAATGGCACAATTAAATCTTAGTTTACCCAGAACTGACAATAAAATTAAAAGGCCCCAAATACAAAAATAACAATAAGAATCTCTATGCATAATCTCAGACAGAAAAGTTAGAAAATTAATTTCCATTTTTTATGGCAATGATTAAAACCAGGTGAACAATAACTAAGTGAAATCCTTGGTAAAGATCTCTGTCAAATATATATGAGATATGGAGCACCTCACGTATACAGTGTACTTCTTTTAAATGTTTAATTTTCTACCCACAGTACCTACATAGCAAGTTAGATTATGTTTATAGACACTCTGACTACATTTAGTTTCTTGTTACTCTGAAAATGTTATCAAAGAGCTTTTCTTTTAAAAGCCGGACACTTCAAATAAAGAATTCCAGGGAGAGAGAGAAAAAAAGTATCAGGTACACTTTAATGAAAAAAATAAGAAAACACTGACAAGTAAATTAAAAATATAAAGTAACTTAAATTATCTTCACATCAGTTTTTAAACTGTAACTGATTCATGAATGAGAACCAAAACTCTCAGGCAGAAACTAGTTCTACTATTGGCCTTCAAGAAGGCCAGTCCCAGCCCAGCCAGCCCCCTCTGGCTGCAGCGCAGCACCCACCGCCAGTGGCAGGGTGCCCACAAGCCCAGGCACAGTGGGGACAGCTCGGTGTGACCAGCTCATGGAGACGCCCTGCAAGGCACACTCTCCGAGGAAACAGGTCAGGGACGGCAGAGGACCCTCTGAACAACACTGCAGAAGCTCTCAGGAAAACTTCGGCCTAAAACTAAAACAAAACTCCGCGGTCATCAAGACTGGGTGAGGGGACAGCTTATACCAATACTGTTTAAATATTTTAAAAACCCAACTCATCATAAATTATTCTCAAAACCAAACCTGAGTATTTGTTTAAAGTATATCCTATGTGCTACTAAGGAATAATAAATTCAAATTCATTGCCTAATTTACTTTATTTCCTCTAGAATAGTAGCAGTGCAGCCAAAATACTCTTAAGTGACAGCTTGTTGCCTACTGGGGCACACAAAGGTTTCTCCAAGTATGAGAAGCAGCTATCCTTTCTCAGCCTGCTGGAAATGCACAGGAACCAGTGAAGTAGAACAACTGTGTAATCTATTGACCCTAACTATCTATGCAGACCTAATTCATCCTGAAAATACACGAGACCCTCAAGTGACTCTGTAGCGCAATCTCTTTAACAAAAGCAGACAGTGCTGAGGGACAGCGTGAGGGGCGGCTGGGCTGCAGCTGCTGCCGCTGCGGGCAGGGACGACCCACACCCAGGGCCCCAGGAGCAGTGTGGGGTGGAAAGGACAAGGACGCGACAGGGGCCTCGCCCAGCACCGGCCCTCCTGCCCCCGCGGAGCGCAGGTGAGCACGTGCCGGCGCGCTCCGCACCTGAAACCCTGTAGATGCCCTCGCACTTCATGCCGTGCTTCTCCACGTGGTCCACGCACTCCCGGAAGACGGCCGGCAGCCGGACGCCGTCAGACATCATGCTCCTCTCCACCGCGTCGGCCAAGGGGATCCCGAAGATGGGCCTGAGGCTGGGCACGTCGACTGGAGGCCCCTCTGGCTCCGGAATCGGCTTCTTCTTTTTCTTCTTTTCCTTCCACTGTTTAACAACATCAGCTGCTGTCAAGTCCTTGGACTTCTTCTCTTTATGTTTTTCTTCTTTGTGCTTTTCTTCTTTATGCTTTTCTTCTTTGGGTTTCTCTTTTATCTTAAAATCCTTATCCTTCTTTTTAGAAAAGCTGGGCTTCTTGAAGACATGGATGCCCTTGGACCTCTTCATCTTGGAAGGACTTTCGGCCTCATCCCCAGAGCTATCTTCCTGGAAGGCAGCATACCCCTCAGCTGCCAAAACATTGCAAGGGAGTATGTTAGTTAGACAACTGTTTAGCGGCAGACTGTCTGTGTGCTTTCTAAAAAGGAACCAACAAATAAGTGTCACCTGGCACTGGCTCTCTGGTCACCCTGCAAAAGAAACAATCTTTCAGCAAAAGAAGACGGCAGTGACAGCAACTGGCCACAAGAGGGCGATGGGCACCAGCACTGACACCCTGGCAGCATCCTAGAGGGGATGCTGGTTTAAATTTTGCACAGTGAATGCGGGGTCCAAGGGTTCACACAGGGCCAGCACCAGGCTCTACGTGGGGCCCAGCAGAACGCACCCTGAGAAACAGCACCCTCCTTCTATCACATGCACTTCTCCCGTGGTGCCTGAGACTGGCCCTGTCCGTAGGACTCCAGGTACGCCACTTTCCCTGTGCTCCGTCACCTCCCTGCCACACCGGTGTTGCTGTGGCCAAGCGTCCAGTTCTTCCCAAAGACATGGCGGCCACAGCCTTCCCAAGGAAGCACCCTCCTGAGCAGACGACAGCAGATCCACCGGCTCAGTTCCCCACATCGTCTGTTTCCTCACTGACCGAGAGCCCAGCGGCCTTCACACCACAGCAGTTATCTCCATTTGCTTTTGCTCGTGAGGGGAGGCCTCAAACTCCTGGACTCAAATGATACTCCTGCCTCTGCCTCCTGAGCAGGTGGGACTATAGGCAGGTGCCCGCGAGCCTACCTACCTGTGTTGTTTCCCCTAGTAGATGGCAAATATCTCAAGGACAAAATGCCACGGCGGAAAGCAATGGAGCTCTCATACTGCAGGGGGTGTAGCTGGCGCCACCACTCCACAGCCTTTCTTATGCCGGAAGTATGCACACCACACAGGACACACGGCAAACACAGGTACACGCATACACCAATGGGACAAAACTCCACACAGGCACACACAACAGAAACACTTGTGTATAATGACAGAGCACACACACACAAGACACACGCACATACACCAATGGGGCATAACTCCATGCAGGCACACACAACAAAAATGTACACATATACACACTAAAAGACACATGTGATACTGTTCACAGACACACTACTCTTCACAGTCAAAAACTGAAAACAGGGGCCAGGGGTTTGGCTCAGTGGTTCTGCCATCTGCCTCGCAAGCTCAAGGTCCTGAGTTCGATCCCCAGTACCACAAAAAAAAAAAAAAAAAAAAAAAAAAAAAAAAAAAAAAAGAAAGAAAGAAAAAGGAAAAGAAAACCTGAAAATAACTCAAACAATGGAGAACAGCAGAGTGGATAAGCTCTAGTGCGTCGGCACAGGGAAATGCCCAGGCAGACGAACAGATCACTGTCACATGAACAACAAGAATGAAGTTCACAAACATCACACTGGGCCAAAGAACCTGGCACGAGAGGAAGGACTTCATGTCAGTCAGGCCACATGATACTGGAGCATGCAGGAGATAGCTGGGACCCCCCTCAAGGGCAGCAAGGGAGCTGCGAGGGCCCACAGTGCTGTTTCCAGGGCCAGCGTGGTCCATTCAATGCATCAAGTTGTACACCATTTGTGCATGAATTAACTCAAAAGCATCATGACATCCAAGGAACTTAAATCACCTTCTCTGCTTTAACACACTAAAGACCTCTGCTTCGACGGCTCCCTCCCACTGCCTGAGCCTGGATGGCGGCATCCTGGCAGCTGCCTGTGGTAAATGTACACTACTTTTACAGCTCCAGCAAAAGTGCACCCAGACCCAGGCAAGAAAGTCAGACCGACAGGGAAAACTCCTGGCTCCACTTCTCATGCATTATTCTGAACGATCACTTCAAAAAATATCCACTGGAAACCTGCCACTTCTGCAAATTTGGTATTTTTATTCGTGAGATTAAGACCCTAAAATACAACTCCCATATAACAAACTGAGACTCTGAAAAATAAAGCACACACCCAAGTCTCCGACTGGACATAGCTCCAGAATATTTACAGCTGGTCGGGGGAGTTCGGGTAAAACAACTCGAAAGCAGAGAAAAACAGCACTCACTCCTTTTCTCCTTCTTCTTGAACTTCCCCTTCTTCTTGCCATGGTCCTTCTCGTCATCGGACGCGATATCCGGGGGCTCGTGGAGGATGTCGTGGGGCGGCGAGGGCTCGCCTGTCCGGTATAAGCCAGGGAACTTGGTGGGGCTGACCTCCTCCGAGCTGGGCGTCCGCGTCAGCCCGCTGCTGTGCTCGGCCCTGCGGTGCTCCCCGGGGCTGCTGGTGGGGGGCAGGAAGCACTCGGTCATGCTGGCACCCTGAGCACAGCGGGAGTGGCCTGGGCGTCACCTGTCCATCACACACCTGTGCAGAGAAAACATCCAGTCACCAACCAGCTCCACTCCAGAAGCAGAAATGCCACACGAGCCGGCACAGCGGTTCTCCTTACACGCACACACATGATCTCTGAGATCCCATACGTGTGCTACCGCAGATTATAGTCCAGGCATCACACATGTCTGTTCTGAGGTGACAGCACCATGGTCTTCAAGTATTAGGAGAGTAAACCAAATGAAAATCAGAGTTATGGCTCTTAAGTAGAGCACAGAGTTCTTTTCGAAAGATGGTGCCAGGGATTTAGCTCAGTGGTGCCACCGCATGCCTCTCAAGCATAAGGTCTCGAGCTCCATCCCCAGAACCAAAAAAAGAACTCACCAATGCAAAGGGCTTCATTTTGACTGCTATCCAACATAAAATCTTACTTGTAGTTTGGGCACTTCTCTCTATAAGGTTTGCCATCACTATTCTAGTCTCTGTAATTTATTTTATGCATGGTTTTTGGGTCACAACATGAATGATGTTAAACATTACACTGGGCCAAAGAAGCTACACATAAGAGCTTAACTAAGTCAGGCAGCACAGCCAGGCTGCCCAAACTGCAACCCAAACCCACTTAACTCATCACAAAGTGCCAGCATTGCAATTACACCTGAACACTGCTGGGGATTTAGCTCAGTGGTGCCACCATCTGCCTTGCAAGGACAAGGTCCTGAGTTCAATCCCCGCTACCAAAAAAAAAAACAAAATAACAACTGAGGTTTTAGTTTATAAAACACAACTCGTACATAACATCTTTTGTCTTAAAAGAAAAACAACACAGGTGCCACAGATTCACCTTAACTAGACCAGAACTTTGCAAAGCAGTTTATATCATTAATTTAGAGATTACAATGGTACGTCTAACGATTCACATAATTACAGATCACTAACTTTCCGAAGTGCATGCTATTCCCCGCGATTCAATGCCTCCTGCACTGTGTTTCTCCTGGACACACAAGTGTGAGAGCGGCCCCAGCCACACTTCCAGCCTGGCCTCCGCTGCCTGCCCCTTGTTTCACAGTGCTGGGGCTTGAGTTCAGGCAGTACTGAGCTGCATCCCTTCTGAGACAGACCTCCCCAGTTTACCCAGACTGGCCTCAAACTCACCATCCTCCTGCCTCAGCTTGTGAGTAGCCAGGACTCCCGAATGTGCCGCCACACCGGGCTTTCCTCTCCACATTTTTACTTGGCTAACTCACACCCACTCTTGAACAGGAAGCTGGCAAATGGGTATGTGGAGGGAATGTTCGGGTGGTGATGGAAGACATTCTACAACTGGATTGTGTCAATCGCTACACAATCAGTAAATTCACTGAAAATCATTACATCGCACAATTCAAGAAGCAGGACTGCTCGCTGTGTCATGGGTACCGATAGAGCTGTCAGGGAAAAGATGATGAGGCTCTGGCAGTGGCGGCGGTGGCACACCTTCTCCCGGGCCCACTCCGCCCTTCTCCAGGGATGGGCACCGCCAGCGTCCCACACTCACACAGCCGCGCACACTCAGCTACATCTGCCGCCAACGCGTGTCCAACTTGCGACATAAAGAAAGGGGACACAAACTTTAGAGAAATTCCTGAGGTTTCTGGAGCTCATATATAGGAACTTACCGGGGCAACTGTATGAAAAAATTAGTATTTTTCTGTTGATAAACAGAGATGCTAAGGCTCAGAAAACTAAGTAACTTGCCCTACATCACCCAGCAACGGGTAAAGCAAAATGGCGTGACTCAAACTCACCTTCTGTCACAGAGGGAGCACGGGGAGCCCTGGGGCTGCCTGAGGGGGCAGGGGATGGCTTCTCAGGGCACAGGAGACAGCGAGATGAGGTGGCCTGGGGGGAGGGCAGGCAGGGGAGCGGTTGGTGGGAGCTGGCCCTCCTGTGCTCACGGACTTGTCCCACAACACCTCCAGTGTCCCTCCTGTTCACCGCCACCCTCACTCACTTCCACACTAGGCTGAAGACGACAGGAAAAGAGTTGCTCATAAAGCACTTAGCCGGTTATCTTATGAACATTACTCCAAAGAACTCATGTGGATCTGTGCTATGGACTCAGTGTCTCCCCAAAATGTGCATGTCCAAAATCACAGGCAGGGCCTCTCCTCTGGGTGAAGGGAGCAGACGCCCCGCCTACCGTGGGGGACATCCAGAAAGGGACCCACACCAGAGACTGACAGGAAGCTGGGGCCTTGACCCAGGACTTCCCAGTCTCAGGGACCATGAGCCCTTCCGAGTTGTGGCATGAACACACAGTTGGGCACAGCTGGCACGTCTGGCAGGAGACAGGAATGGATGACAGTTGGCTAAGACAGAAAGAACATTATCCGCACAGGGACACACATCGGCCAGTGGGGAGCTACAGCAAGCCTGAATTCACAGGCGAGCAGAATAGAAAGACCTAAATGGTCCCCGGTAAATTTACTATCATTACCCAAGGGTAGAGAAATAAATCAAAAAAATCAGAAATCCCTATTTCTGAGCCAAGAAGAGCTAGTGTAAGTTTTTTAAATTTTCTTTTTTTTTTTTTCCAGCTTTAATTGAGTTTATTGGTACATTTTAGGGATACAGTACAGTTACATTCATTGTTGGGATCTTGTACCTCTACATGACAAGTCTTGATTCTCATTTTTTCCCCTTACCCCTGCCCTCCCTTCACCCCCTCCTCCCCTCCCCATCTACAAACACTTTATTTTCATCTTTTAGTTTTTTAAATTTTCAATAAAGAATATTATTCCTATTCATTCTGGAAAATGCAACTGACAATCTTAGACATCAGATTTTTTTTATAAAAATGACGGCTTGCTTCAGCAGCACATATGCTAAAAAAGAAGACAACTAAAAGGTAGACAGAAAGCAAAGGGCTAGAAAAAGAACAGGTTTTTTGTTTTGGTTTGGTTTTGGGGGTGTGTGTACACACACACGTGTACACATGTATACGGATCAAACCCAGGGCCCTGCAGTGATCAGAAAGTGCTCTGACACTGATGTGTATCCTCAGTCACCACGATCTCTCTGGCTTCACATCACAGACTGGAACTAATGATGTCAGGAACCCAAACCCCAATGCGCGTCGAGGAGGGGTGAAAAGCCTTAGCGATCCAGACAGTCTGGCACTGAAGACCACACAAACAAATCAGAGGGACAAAGTAAAAGCACAGGGGACAGTTAAGTGATTTTAATGAGGCTCCAGAGAAGAAAGGAAAGCCTTTTCAACAACTGGAGCTGGAGCCCAACATGGTGGCACACACCTGTAATCCCAGCACTCGGGAGGCTGAGGCAGGAGGATCACTGTGAGTTTGAGACCAGCCTGCGCTACACAGTGAGTTCCATGTCAGTCTCAACTACATAATGAGACCCTGTCTCAAAAAAACAAAAACAACAAAAAAAACCTGGAGCTGGCTAAGCACACAGTGCCACATCACACATGAAAATAACTCATGTCAGATCTAAAATTTTAAATCTAAAAATCACAAAATGGCAGGTGTGGTAAGACATGCCTGTAATTCCAGCACTCAGAAGGCTGAGCCAGGAGGACTGCTGGGTATCTGAGGCCAGAGAGGCTAAAACTCTGGAGAAGGAAAAAAAAAACCACATCTCTACTGAACATGTGATGCTTTTTTGGTTATGATTCTCTAAACCATACGTTGTAACAACTATTCATTCACCCAGCATTCATTCTGTATTAATAAAAGCCACACAGACACAATTTAGTGCATGGGAGGGGAATGTGGACATCACATGCAAACACTTCACCATTTCACAACAGGAGCTTGTGTATCGTCGATGGGGTCCTGGAATCGGCACCAAAAGGAGCTGATCCCTGCAGACACCAACAGTTAACTATATACACGTGTGTGTGTGTGTGTGTGTGTGTGTGTAAAACACAAAGAATTTTACCCAACATATGCAAAGAAGTCCTACAATCCAATAAAAGAAAGACTATCTGTATTAGCTTTCTGTCACTGTAACAAAAACCTAGCCAGCAAGGTGGTATACGCCTGTCTGTATTCACAGCATTTTGGAAGGCTGAGGCAGGAAGACTCAAGTTCAATGCCCAATGGGCAACTAAGCAATATCCTATACCAAAAAATTAAAAAGGCCAGGGATGTAGCTCAGTGCAAAGGTCCTGGGTTCAATCCTAACACCCCCCACCCCCGCCAAATACTCAACAAACAAAATACATAAGACCATCAACATTAAAGAGAAGGCCTATTTGGCCCTGCTCCTCTGGGCCTATCTCAGGGCAAGACAGCAGGCAGGAGTGTGTGGTGGGGCAAATCTACTTACCTCATGGCTGGAATGCAGGGACAGGCAGGGCCAGATGGAGCCCAGCTGCCCCCTAGGACACACCTCCAGTGGCCACCCATTCTGCCCCCTCTCCACATGCCATCTCCTCCCAGTAACCAGACGGTGAATCAGAAGGAAACAGTTCCTAGGGAGCAGCAGTTACACACACGCGAGAGCACATCAAAGAAAGCACGACAGGTCAGAGAACCACTGGAGCTGGGGCATACACCTGCCACGAGACAGAGTAAACAAAGCAAAGGGAGGTAAGAAACAACTCCCAGCTCCGGGAGAAAGGGGTGAAAAAGGCAACTACCCAGTGCCTGCCTGCATTAGCCACCACCTGCCTCATCATCGTCTGAAAAAAGTGAGCACGATTCTGATCAAGCCGTAACTGCAGACATTAGAGTTGAAAGCACAGGATGGGGGGTATAGGGACTAAATTGTCATCCATCCCATCAGCTTAGCAGACAACCCAACAACCCGGATGTCAAGAAACAGCAGTTTAGGTATTATATTTGGAAAGAAGGAAATAAATAGCAAAAGCAGCAGCTAATAGGAAAAACTAAGACTGCATGGGGTACAAGAAAGAGGCAGGAATAGTGCCCTGCACTTCACGTCTGTGAGCACTGTGCCCGGGTCCCCAAGGCCACCCAGGCCCGAGATTCAACACTCGCACATGGCTGTGCTCACAGCTAAGA